CAGGGACAGGTCCGTACAGAGCCTTACCTGCAGCAGTGACCAGGTGAGAGCAGCCAAGGTCAAGAAGACACAGGGACAGGTGTGTACACAGCCTCACCTGCAAGAATGCGAGCTGAGAACAGCCAAGGTCACTGACGGACACAGAGACAGGTCTGTACAGAGAATGAGTAATGGACAGATGACAATAGCATTGTGCTGGCACACACAGAAGGGGAGAAGGTGCTGCTTGGAGAGACACGCCTCCTGAATTCAATGTGCTGGGGTGGCTGTCCAGTGTGAGGGACTGTATGACACTTGGACACATCACGGTGTCCGTCCCAGCCTCTTCCTTAGCTGGGAGGAATATAGCACGTCGCCGCGGCTGACACGTCCTCCTGTCGTCCTCCCCCCCTGCAGGTGAAATCGGAGGTGCGGCGGCTGAAGGGGATCCCAGCTCTGGTCAGCCTCCTGGACCACCCCAAGAAGGAGGTGCACCAGGCCGCCTGCGGGGCGCTGAAGAACATCTCCTTCGGCCGGGACGGGGAGAACAAGATCGCGGTCAAAAACTGCGACGGGGTGCCTGCCCTCATCCGGCTCCTGAGGAAGACGCATGACCAGGACCTCACTGACACCATCACAGGTAACTGTTGCGACTGTGGGCCAGCGCCGCCGCCGCCGCCGGCCAGGTCTGTGGGCCAGGGGTGTCTGAAGCCATGGGTCTTGGCCGCCGGACCAGGTTGTTTCGGGGGCGGCAGTGGCTCAAAGGTGGAGCCCCAGGCTGATGGCGGTGCTGTGAGACACCTAAGTCTCCTGAGTGGAACCTGTTGGTACCGATTCTTATTGATCTGTGCAGGTAGAAAACAGAGGGTGCACTGTTGAGTCCCCGATATGCTCCCTGTTCTTATCGGTGTGGCCGTAAGGGCAAGCGCTGTTCCACTTCGTGGCCGCGGTGACCCCAGGACACGCCCCCTCCCCCACACTGGAGCATACCCCCCAGGTGTGCCCAGCGGGCTGCTCAGAGGACAGCAGCCCCCTGACCTCCCGGCGCGCTTTCCTGTCCAGGCACTCTGTGGAACCTGTCCTCCCACGACTCGGTGAAGATGGAGATCGTGGACCACGCGCTGCACGCCCTGTCGGACGAGGTGATGGTGCCGCACTCCGGCTGGGAGCGGGAGCGGGAGAGGGAGGAGGAAAGCTGCAAGCCGCGCCACCTGGAGTGGGAGACCGCGCTCACCAACACCGCCGGCTGCCTGAGGTACGACAGAGGGGCCGCAGGAGGAGAGGTAGTGGGATGGGGGGGGTAGTTGCCGTAGGCCGTTTTCCTAAGCGCCTGCGTGTGAATCATGCGGCCGAGGGTCACGGTCCTCTCCTCGTCTCCCGATCTCAGGAACGTGAGCTCGGAGCGCAGCGAGGCCCGGCGGAAGCTCCGAGAGTGCACCGGGCTGGTGGACTCGCTGATGTACATCGTCCAGTCGCAGATCGACCGCAAGGAGGTGGACAACAAGGTACGGCGGACTGCAGCCTCGCTCGGCGGCCGCTCCTCCGCTCCCGGAGCCTGCCGCCCTCCTCCTCCTCCTCCTCCTCTGGTGTGAGGAAGGCAGGGCTGTGCTGACGCGGTCCCCCCTCCCCCTCTCGCTCCTGCAGCTCATCGAGAACTGCGTGTGCCTGCTGAGGAACCTGTCCTACCACGTGCACCGGGAGGTGCCGGGCTCCGAGCGCTTCCAGGAGAACAGCGCCCCGGGCCAGAGCCCCGCCTCCGGCTCCGCCCCCAAGGGCAGCTGTTTCGGGTCCCGAAAGGGCAAAGGTACTAGCGGTGGGGCCGCCCTGATCTCCTGTGTTCCTCTGGACTGCACCCCTGTGTCTGTTACACAGTGTCAGGTCATAGTGATGATGTCCATATCCCAGTTCCCTCTGTGTGAAATTTGTCTCCTGCGTCCTGTACTCCTTAAACTTCTCATACTCGGAGACCAGTCTCTGTGAGGTTTAGTTAAAAAAAAATTAAAGTGCTTTCTTGTCTGGAGTTAATCCAGCCTTACAGTAGCAAGTGAATCCATTCATCATAAACTGGGCCAGGGAGCGAATTGGAAGATAACGGGATTAAAGGAGGAGTTACGGCACAGGATGGGCGGGAGAGAGAGGGTGATAAACTAACAGGATAGGCGATGCAGCGAGAGGCAGTAACAGAGCAGGTGATACAGATGGTTACAGTACAGGGCAGGAGATGCAGTGAGAGCAGATGACAGGAATAGAGCAGGCGATACAGAAGGGTACTGGGTTTGTCAAGTGCGATTGCATCCACTGAGTGTGGCCTGACCGCAGCTGTGCCGTCTGTAATAGTGTTCTCCCTGGAGTGGGTCGTTGTCGTGTCTTGTCCTGTGTGATATCTCTGCTCTAGCTGCTTGGGTGTGGCTTGTAAGGGGAGCTTTGGTGGCTGTAAACTGCTGTTTCTCACGCTGAAATCTCTTTCCCTCCACCCTCCCCTTCTCTCTCTGTCTCCTGCTCCTGTTCAAAAGACGAGTGGTTTTCCAAAGGTAAGAGCCTCTTATAAACTCTGCTTGGCTGCCTTTCAGGCCTTAACGATTAAACGATAATTAACATGAATACTAACACTGGTGCTGGACTGGATCCAGCCGGGCCTGCCTGACGCATTTGAGCTCGACCAGGTAAATTGTGTTCCAGACCCTGAAGCTGTCCTGTGCCAGGCGGACTGCACTGGTCTCGTGGGCCCAGTTTGTTCATGTTTAATGGGACCTCGTCCGGCCGGGGCACTGCGGGACTTCTGGTTTCTGTTAGCATCTGGCCGCCGTGCGTGTTTTGCTGACGCGTTGTCTGTTGTGTCCAGGAAAGAAAGACCTGGACGACCCCACAGCCGACGTTGTCGATATTCCAAAGAGGACCGTTCCCGCCAAAGGTGAGTGGGCTCCGCCAAGCCGGAGGCCATGCAGGAGCCTGGTAAGCCTAAAGGAAAAGCTGCAGGGGAGGGGTTTTTGGGAAAACCCTTCTGTTTGGCAACGTTAAAAGCTAGCTTTTTAAAAATTGTAAAAAGTCATAAACTACCACACACCTCAGCCCTGGTGGGAGGAGTGGTACTGCTGTGCTCTGCTCACCACTGCCAGCAGGTGTCCGTGTTGAGCTCCTGGAACGTGACGGGCCTCACACGGATCACCCTATAACTGCACGGGGAGCGTGGTAATAGCGTAGTCTTTCTCGCTGTGGGCATGCTCCTGTAACCCCTCCGTGCTCCCTCGCTGCCAGGGTACGAGCTGCTGTACCAGCCAGAAGTGGTGCGAGTGTACACCTCCCTGCTGAAGGAGAGCAAGAACCCCTCGGTCCTGGAGGCGGCAGCTGGAGCCATCCAGAACCTGTGTGCGGGCCGCTGGACTGTGAGTGGATCTGTC